CATACAATAGTTTTCAAGCTTATCTGGCCATAGAACATTAAAAAATAATTATGTCACATGACTAATATTCTGAAGAATGCACTTTAAATATGTACTAGGACAGAAAGCAAATGTAATTGCTTCCCTTCTTCCTACTCCATTCTAGGCTTGGCTGATAATGTCACAGTTCAGGATCTTGGTATGTTCCTGGAGCAGGTGCAGTGCAAGGGAGTGAGTTAGTACAAAGTGAGAGTCATGTAGGTTGCAGCTGAAAATTTAAGATTCCTTTTTGGGTATGCCTTGGATTAGAAACCCTTACAGTATAGGGTGGCTGCTTGTTTTGTTTTTTCATAATTAGGATATTGAGCATTCTTGATAGCACATTTCCAATTTTAAACATTCTCACAGTTACATGTAAATCTGGTGAACTTAGACATTAGTTAGAATTTGGTATTACGACATATTGTAGCCAATTATCACAAGAACTGGAATCATTGGCAGATAAGGCTGTGGCCCAAGAGATAAAATGTGGGGCACACTACTAAGCATCAATATTCAAGTCAACTCTGACAATATCCAAATCGGGCCTAACATCTTCCTCTAACACATTTTTTTTTCTCTCTCCGCTTTTATCACTGAAATCACAAGGTGGATGCATAGGAAATGGTCCTTTCACTGAAAAATGAAAATGTTCTGATGTGGAATCCACTGAGGGAAATGAACAAACGCTCCTCTCACCAGGCCTCAGGTCCGCAGAATCGGGACTCAGCACTCCCTCCTCAAAGGGGATGTCCATTCCTACATCCTCCGACAGCAGTCTGAAAAATAAGCAAAGCCAAGACTGTAAAAAACTGTGTGGGACTTTAACCCAGGGATTCCAGGATAACATTTTCAACTCACTTGAAATAAACCAAGTCTGTGGACTGAATCCATTGTAAGTGACCCCAAATTAGAATAAAGACTTCATGCAGTTACTGTGAATGAGAACCACGATCACCAATTTCATCTGCATGCAGGTCACTTCTCCCACCAGCTCAAATAAGTAAACACGCACCATCAAGTAAAAAATGCAGAAACAGGAAATGCAAACAACTAATAAAATACGCTTCAGGACATTAATAGATATGTTTTCCACAAGAAAAGCAGTATGCATGCCTTGGAGTAAAGACAGACCTGACTTTGCATTTATTTCCTCCCCTGTGTAAATTCGAGCATATTACTTAAATTGCATGGGCAGAGGAGATCATGATCTGCTGGTCTCACTTGTTTATTTCTAAACTAAGGATGTACCTCCTACCTCACTAAGTTGCTGAAAGATGAAGTAACGAAATAAAGTGCCTAACATTCCTGAGAAGCACGGACTAATGCTATTTTCCTTCTTTTATCTTTAAATATTTAAAGATTCATTGTTAATCTCTTGTCTGTAGTCAGTGCTGAGCCCAGGACCATTTATATTCGTCTACTTGGTAAGACAAGTGTGGGGAAATAGGAAAATACTGGAGGAATTTGTGACCAATCTGTATGTTCTTGTAGGAAGCTGACCATTGTTCACAATGAATTTCTCCTGTCGTATTTTCATCCCCTGCCCTTGTTCAGTAAATCCCTATTTCTCATGATAATAGATTTTTCTTTTTGGTGGCTTCCACACAGTTTCATTCATTTAGGGTGAATGCTCATGACGTAGGCACACATCTAAATGTAAACATGATAAGCCTTTATGTTAAAGTTCTACACATAGTGCCTCTCTCCATCTTATTGAGACTTTTCCCCACGTCACTCTGGGTCTACCAAACATTTGGAATTTTTTTTTTTTTTTATTCCTTTTTGTCTTTTTTACTGACCGGTAACAGGATCACAACCTTCGGTGTCGCGCCCGTACCGGGGACCGGCAATGGGATCGCAACCCTCAGTGTTGCACCTGCACCGCGCTCAGCCAGTGAGCGGGAACCGGTCTCCACATGGGATCTGAACCCTCGGCGGGAGCGCCGCTGCACTCCCAAGCGGCGCACTCTCCAGTGCGCCACCGGGCCAGCCCAACATTTGGAATTTGACCAACTTTTTTTTTTGGCAGCTGGCCAGTACAGTTTGATCAACTTCTCCGGGACCCAAGTCAAATCCCTTTACTATCAATAAAACATTAAGATGAAAAAAAAAAAAAAGTGCCCCCAGTGATAACTGCACTTGCTCCATTTGTTCGGTACAGGTGTGTGGAGTGTCTGCTGTGTGCTGCGGATGTAGAGGAACAAACAGACCAGCCTCATTCTCGTCGTGGAGACAGGATGATGGAGTTAGAATAATGAACACGACCCGCAGTAACTCAGTGCTGCTCCCCTGTGTCTCTACCTGCCAATCCCACAGATCCCTTCAAAAGCACAGCATCGGGTTGTTTCTCTCTCCAGACTCTCTCTGTGGCTTCAACCCTGCGTGTTTTCTGAAACTACACCTGCACCCTAGTGGCAAAACAGTGAGCAAGAGGCAGCGTATGAGTGAGACAACAGTGAACTGGCAGGAGCATGATATCCTGTACCAAATAGAGACGCTCTAGACTTAGGGGGGAGCGAACCAAGTGGCCCAGCGATAGAGGTGGGGGTGGGGAAGCAGAGAGAAGGCCTGCGCTAGACCCCAGTTTTGAAAGCCCTGGAACCTAGAGGGACTGACATCTAGGTTTCCCACGCTGCTGCAGACTTCCTAACAATGATCCCTTGTCACATGAAGTCACTGTGTGTACTCCTTGACTTCAACCCTCTAGTACTTGAAAGGAGCAAAATGCTGCCATTGAGAGCAGCTGGATTCAGATCTTAGTCCTGTCACTTACTGTGTGTCATATGGCAAGTTATTTCATCTTTCTGTGCCTCTGTTTCCTCACCAATAAAAGAGGGAGGATGTGCAATGCCTGAAAATAAGCACTGAAAGAAAAAGTGTCACCTGTTGTCACCGCACCTCCTCACCCTCTGCTATAGCTGCTTTCTCCATTAGACCCGACGCTTCATGACGACAGGTATTGTATCTCCTGTTCACTATTACATCTCCACCACTGGTACAAGTAGATACTGAATAAGTATGTGTTGAATTATTCGGCCTGAAATACCCAAAATGAGCATGTACATTATTTCCCTAGTCCTCTGCCTAAGAGTCAACCTTTAAAAAAAAAATGAAGACATCAGATTTCTATTGGTCTGACAGAGCACAAAAGGGTGCTGGTCTTAGCCTCAAAATAAATATGAAGGCTTTTAAAATAAATAGATACTATCAGCTTAAATTCTGCAGGTTTTTTTTTTTTTAAAAGATGACCGGTAAGGGGATCTTAGCCCTTGACTTGGTGTTGTCAGCACCACGCTCAGCCAGTGAGCGAACCGGCCATCCCTATATAGGATCCACACCCAGGGCCTTGGTGCTGTCAGCACCGCACTCTCCCGAGTGAGCCACGGGCCGGCCCACTGCAGGTTTTGTTGATGTTTATGAGTTATGGGCAACAGCATGGAATAATTGAAGGAATCCTAGATATGAGGTTAGAGCCTGCATTGTAGTCCCACAGTTAGTACAGTGAGTACTGACAAGCTGGTTAATTCTGAGATTAGCTGATCAGTTTTGTAATTTTATCAGCACCACATTTCTTTCTTTCTTTCTTTCTTTCTTTTTTTTTTTGCCAGCTGGTCAGTACAGGGATTGAACCCTGGGCCTTGGTGTTAACAGCACCGTGCTCTAAATAACTGAGCTAATCGGTCAGCCCTATTTTTATAGTTTTAAATGGAGATCATAAATATCTGACATTACAGTGATTGTGGAGAATAAATATGATATGTATGAAAGTACTCTGTAAATTATAATGCATTGTCTGAGTTTAAGGTATTACATCTCCTTCATTTAAAACATAATATCAGGAGCAATGGTTTAATTGAAGTATGTGTCGCAGTGGACAAAACATAATGAAGATTACTACAATCTGGGTATTAGGTTACTATGATCTGGGTAAGAGATAGTTTCACCACTACACAAATCTTCATAGAACATAGAAATACTCCTGAACTCATTGATGCTAGAGAATAAATAGAGCCTTTGCCTTTCAAGAGTCATTTTCAACACACAAAGCAGAGACCCTGTGAAGAAAGTGCTGGAAGGCCAGTGATGCCACATGCTGGGGGAAAAGAAAAGCTGCAGCAGTGATCAGGAGGTGATTGGAAGGGAGGGACTCTCACAACCCATGGATGTCACAGAAGGCTACGGGGACATGTTAGGAAACCCCAGAGACAGAGAGAAAACTGAGCCAGAAGAGCTTAGAAGCGAATCTAGGAGAAAACCAAGTTGTGCTCTTTGCGAACACTTTAACCACATTCATACATTAGGTCTATAAATATTTATAGAAATGAAGTGGCTGGAGTAGTTGGTGATTAAGCCAGGCAGCAGTTTTATGACAAGTAACGGCAGCCTCTCAGGATCTGTTAGGTAACAGATCAGTAGAGCATAAAGTCAGGTATTTTACCTTGTTCATCTGTAGCAAGTACTGCGCTCAATTTGGGGGTTTTGTATACAGAGCGGAGCTAACAAAGAGGTTGCGGCGTTGTGAACGCGAGTCTGACTCCACTATGTCTCCATCTAGAGGAGGTCTCAGAACTGCTTTCTGGTTTCTTTGCTGGATGGTGTTGGAGCACTATCCTTCACCACATGTTGCTGGCTCCAGCCACTGTGGGTGCTGGTGACACTGCACTTCCCTGCACCCTTTGCCGTTAGCATGGCCGTGCAACTGGCTTTGGCTAATGAAAAAAGAGTGGAAGTGGCAGATGGCACTTCTGAGAAGAAGACTTAAGAGCAAGCGTGTGGGGTGCCACATCCCCTCCCCGCCTTGGTGGCTGGGGAAGGGCTCAGAAAGGCTGTGTTCTGAGTGACGGTGATAAGCAGAGGCCCCAGCTAAAGCTCACTGGCTATGTGAACAAATAAACTTCTGTTGTGTTTTGACCATATTTTGCCCAGATATTGGGGTTATTTATTACCACATCACAATCTAGCCCATTCTACTGTACAGCTGACCTTTATTGTTTGTTTCAAAGGGAATATTTCACTCACACTGTGCTCAAAATTTTTTTCCCCAAATTGGGTAACCCATTTCCCACATTCTCAACTCAGATTCGTGTTGAAAGTACACATCTTCCTGTCTGAGTTGCTAAAGCATGAAAGAACATTTTAACAAATGGGGATAAAAGCTCAGAAGAACATCGGATGCTTTTAAGTATTCTATAAACTTGAGTATTGATATATCATCTTTATGGTTTTTGTCACAGCCATTGAACATTTGTTAATTTACCTAATATTTTTCTAAAAACTGACTTATTTAATTAAAATTATTTTGAAAAGAAGGTTTGTATCACTAGTGTATGTAACAATTGTATCACTCCCCTAAAATAAATGGTCACATAAATTAAATATAATTAAAATAATGCTATTAAATTTGAGCTAGAGAACGAACCCATGAGCTTTCACTCTGAGGCTTTCTCCCTTTGCTGAAAAAGAGAAAGTAGGAAGTGTCGGCTATGTCTGACAAGGTATAATGCCATATAACATTATATATACAAGAAATGCTGTATGAAATAGACTAAATACCCAAAAGGTAATTATTACATTTCCAAGCTTGAAAGAAACCAAGGGGAATTCCCAAGCTCCAGAAATAAAGAGTTATGATAGAAAATTGATTAAAACATAGCCCATGGGGTTTTGGGACTGGATAGAGGTCTTCAGGTCCCACAGCAGAAGGGACCTCCAGGAGGTGGAAGAAAGGCCTAGACCTGAACTTCTAACTAAGGCTCTGGACCTTAAAGAACTACCC